GACTAGGTGCGTTTCTTTAAGTCTTCCTACCAACATGACCGAGTTGCGAAAACAAGGTCAAACAACTTATTTATTTAGTTGTGGGTAAATTCAATTATTACGCAATTTCTGTTAGAAATGACATCGAGTCTCCACGACTATTTGTGTGATAGGCATAACCAAATGGATATAATGATTGCTTTGATTGCATCATACTCAGACAATTTTATTTATATCTTTAATCTAGAGCCCAGCTTACCTGTGAACATGCGAACATTCCCAGGTACTCTCGCAACTTGGCCGTTGTGACAGCGAGAAGTTGTGAAGAGTGTCCAGTCTCATGCCCTCTGTCATGGTAAACATGATCATTCCCAGCATCGCACCATCGACTTGTTTGCATTCACACACGTTTCGGTAAGGCGGCGAGCCAACGATCCGATATTTGAGCTCGCCATGGTTGCTATGGCAGAGGAGTTTTGCCGTCACTCCAGCCAAGCTGACAACGCGAGGTTCGACCAACCTTAAGCAGTTACATGAGACTGCAAACAAGCTCAAGACCTCTCCGTTTTGGTCTTCGTATTTGGATGATTGTTCAGAAAGTGAAAGCGTAGAATGAAGCGGTGCCCTAAAATGTCCAGTTAAAGTTAAACGAGTGACCTTAAAACAACTTCATCTTGAAGCAAAACTGGACCTGGAAGGTTGCCTTAATCGGTTGCTTTTGGTATGGCGTTTGGTATCTTTGACGATTCCCATAGAATTGGCCGCATGGAAAACCGAAGCAGCATTGACTAAGAGGACAGACAGTTTGTTGGTTTGCCGGAAAAATCCTTCACTCGCCGACATGCCACTCAGCTTCAGCAATGCTGGACTTTCGTCCGTTCCACCGTGACCGACATCGTCAGAGCCAGAAAGTAGCATACTGTACGAAAAATCACCACAATTGCACTAAACCAAGACAAGGATTTGGGGTCACGAGAGGACTGACAACAGCATAGCACACATTCCAACAACCCAATTTCCCCTCTCTTCCTTTTCCTATTCACCAATCCCTTTCTCTTTACTCATCAAGCTGAAGGAAGAGTAGGCAGACTCCTCTCAGGCACAACTCAGAGACACAAAGTAGCGTATTGAAATTGCCTTCGTTACTTTTAACTTGATTTCAAAGTTTAGCTGTGAATTTATGGCCTCTCTCAGCACCCGTCTATTGTGTCATGGGTACTTTGTATCACAATTTGGTGTAGAGACGCTGGCATTCGCCAGTCATGACTACGGGCATCTTTGCAAAAAGTCACCTGTTGAATCTTCTGCAAATGTAGTGCATTCTGTCCTACTCGGAAAGTTACTACAAACTTCGAACCATTTCTCCATTTTATCATGTCACGCCCTGTTTTCACTCGTTTTCATCACGGAATCATTCGAGACTGGTGGTTCAACAAGGACATGCCTCCAGAAAATTTGAAAACAAACCAACGTTACTACTTAAATACTTCTCCGCTCGTCGGTCCATTAAAGAAGAGCGTCGTCTGCCGAAACCGCCTCCTTGCCTGAGCCGGACGGTGTTTGTGTAGGCCGCCTGAATTGCCCACTTTGACGGAATCCGCAGGGATTCCTTGGATCTGGCCCCATTTAAGGTACAAACGTCCGAATGCTCCTGTCTTTTTACAATCGACTTGGATTCATTCCTGCCTCGGAGTAGTCCGATGAGCTAAGATGACAATTCTTTGTTGAGGGCATAGTGAAGTTTTCTTAAAGAATGCCTCCCGGCTTGAAATGATGCATGACATGGAGGGACAGACAACAGGTCAACACGCATGTACCGGAGCCGGAGGATGGTTGTCCGATCGCAACGGTCAGGCGATCGACGACTTATGCCCTCCGTTTGGCAGCCGTTTGACTTTGATACAACCTTCAGGTTGGCGCAGTCCATGAGACATCTTTTCTCGTAGGCTCAGCTTTTGTCCATCATATGAAAAGCATCATCAGAGCTGGAAATCATTCTTGTAAAAATGCAGCTTTTACACTTCCACACTTTTTGTTAGCCTTTCGCTAGAACAAGTTCCAGCTCTAATGATTTCTATCATATGACGGACGAAAGCTCTGCTGATTTCCAGGCGCAACGTCGGAGAGTGCTATGTGAACTGCGTCAAGCTGAACGTTCTATTAAAGCAAAATAACTGCAGAACAATAATAATCGGCCTTCGTCTCTCTGCTGGATCAATCAATGTATTTCTTCATCGTGTATTTTCATAAAAGATAAAAGCCTCCTCAATAATGCCCCTATTCAAGGTGTACTTATTTTTTGATATCCTCCTTAATTCCTAAAGAATTTAGATGAAAATGAATTTTGCATAGCCCTCCTTCCTATAAACTTTTCTCATTCCTAATACTAGAGCTTTGACCTGGCCTGGCTTTCATAATCGTCATCGTTGATTTTAATGCCCAATGCCAGATTGTTGCGTTGACAACAGTTCAAAAGTAAATGGGAATTTAGAGACTCCCGACACGAAACGAAAATGACACCCGCATACGGACCCACAGGTGTAAGTTGCTGTTTGTTATGTCTTCCCCAGACGCCACGCATTGATGAGATATTTTTCAGTTAATTTTGGGAAATTTTAAATCAGTCCTTAACGAAGAATGACATAAGTAACGATATTTTTGGAACCTATTGTATATTAGTATTTTGAACTCTACATCGTTTTATAGGACCTAGGTTGACTCAAATTTTTATCTCTACCTCAATAGTTGGGAAATAACCTAAACTAG